GTTATTAAAAATCTAACCATAATGATAATCTTCCATGCTTTAACAAAAGTAGCATAAAGTAAAAGTGTGATTTTTTTTATGCCTCTTTGGAGTCCAGACCTGGGTAAATGCCATAAGACAGATTCAAAGGTGAATTCACTCTTTAGAGTGAAAAATTCAGTTAGTTTTTACCATTTCTTCCTTAGTCAAGGCTTTTGACCGATGTTATCCATATACTACCGAAACTATAAGATCAGAGCAGGTCTAAGATTAGGATTTTTCAGTATCACATAAAGAAGTTAGCTGTCCAACTCTCACTTAAAGTCCAATTTAAATTCCAAGTATAGTTTCATTGACTTTCATAACATTGCTTCTGTCAGAGTAAAATTTCTATTTTTCTCCTGATTTTTACTTTGAACTCAAAATCACTATAGTCTAAAAGTACCTTCCAAGGTTAAAAATTTCAATTAAGGAGACTGACCATAAATTGTGTTCTCTCACTCCTTTCCTTAGCCAGGGTTTTCAATCCATATTTCATTTTGGTCACCAAAGAATGTTAAGTGACTGACTCTTGTGAGAGGGTGTTTTTCCCCCTCTATTAGCTCTTTATATTTAATTTTCAGTAAACTGATCATTTCTCTGAGAGCTGTTGCCCAGAATAGTCCATGCCTGCTTCCCCAGAAGTCTTTTTATGTGTCCAAATTTTTTGATATTATGGGTGAGTCATTAGGCCAACAGTCTGTGAAATGGAAAATACCTAATATTGCTAGATTAAGTGGGACTCTTCCACGTTGTCACCTATTACACAATGAAAGCACTTTATACATGATTGGATTGAGTTACATGGTTTTGAGGTAGGCCTCAAGCCTAACTAATCATGGGAACAATTTACTGGGGCTCATGGTGGATTCTCCATCACTAGCCATTTTTAAATATGTGCTCTAGTTCAAAAGGAATGTAAGGATCATGGACTAGAACACAGGTCTGTGAAACCTGGAACAGTTGATGTTCCTATAGTGCCACCTGGAGGAAGGGTAAGCACACAAACTTCAGGCCTGTAGCAAGTCCTCACCTTATCTCTGATCTACACGTTTGGTATGACTTTGACCCTGATGGTTAATAATTAAGCCCAACTTTAGCAATGCCTGCTCTCTGACTGCCATCCCTATCATGTGGAATCCAGCCCAACTGTGACCAGTAGGCCACACCCTCTCCACCCAGTCCCTTACTGATGATCACAACGGTCCCTTCAGGTTTTCCAATCAACGTAGAAAACAAATTTGGCCAAAGAGACTAGAAGGATAAGCTGCAAAGTGGAGTGAACAAAATGTGTACAAACTTAAGAATCAAGAGTGAGGCTCACTGGGTAGCCAGCCTAAACCTGAGCTGGAGCCAGAATTTACCAATGTACATTGCCAAAGAACAACAGTTCTATATCACCAGCCCTGATCATCTCCCCACCACCACTTACAGCACACCCCACCCATGGGCAGCCCCACCAGCCAGTGCCGCCTTCTCCTTTTCCTCCTGGCCACTGGAATCAGCTCTCTCTGGCTATGTCTACACTACAGATGTTTTTTCATAAAAATGGCTTTTTAAAAAAACCACCTCACTTACATCCACATTGCAATCACGTTCATTTGAGAAAAAAAAACTGAGGGTTTTTTCCGACATTGGTAAACCTCTTTCTACAAGAAAGAAGCCTTTTTCCAAAAGAGCTTTCAGAAAAAGGCATGTGTGGATGGGGAAGAGGGAGTTCTTTTGAAAGAAGAGAAAAGAGAAAAAAGCATAGGTGCCCTGCTGGCCACTCCATCCACAGTAATCACAGCTTACATGTGAGAGAGCATCCATCCAGTGCAGATCGCTTTTTGATGCACTTGGGCACTGTGGATGCACTCTTTTGAAAGAAGTTTTTTCGGAAGATCTCTTCCAGAAAAGCTTCTTCCAAAAGAAGCCTGCAGTCTAGATATAGCTTCTCAGGCTACATCTACATTGCAGGGGTTCTGTGCAAGAAGTCTTTTGCAAAACATTTCTTGTGCAAAAACTTCTTGCACAAAATCGTGTCCACACCTCAAAGCACATCGCTTTTGCACAGCAGAGTATGCACACTGCATGGATGCTCTTGCGCAAGAAAGCGCTGATGGCCATTCATAGAATGGCCATCAGACCACCTGTGCTTTTTCCAATAGGCTTTTTGTGCAAAAAAACCCTACAGAGCATCCACACATGCCTTTTTGCGCAAGAGCTGTAGCGCAAAAAGGAGTTATGCCTCATAGACCACAAAAAGCCCTCTGTTCTATTGATTAACTGTAGATTTTCTTACACAAAAACACACTCGAGGTGTGGACACACAGCGGGGTTTTGCGCAAAAACCTTGCAGTGTAGATGTAGTCTCAGTGGGAGACACTGGAGGGGAAACCATGAGTGTGACAGGCTCAGTGGAGAGGGTAGGAAGTGGCAGGATCCTAGGGGGGAAAGGGTGGAGGGGGACAGTGCCTAGGGCAGAGCTGGGAGTTAACAGTGAGCACCCTCCGGCCCAGTGGAAAGTTAGCACCTGTAGCTGCAGCCCTGGATTGGTACCTATGTAAGGAGCCACATATTAACTTCTGGAGAGCCACATGTGACTCTGGAGCCACAGGTTGGCCACCCCTGACCTACTCAGTAAGCCACATAACAGAATCTCCAAGACTAACCTCCTCAAAAAAGCCATGACATCAGCAACCAGGCCATGCCAGCAGTTTTAGACAGTTTTTCACAGCACTCATAATAAGCCCGTAAATAAGAAATGCTGTGCCAATATAATATTATTGTCTGATTTGATCTCTCTAGTTCCAGTACCTGGACTCAAGATCTAGAGATGAAGAGTTCATAAACACCTTTAGTAATCACTTTCCCCTTTTATTATATTTAGTATTTTGTTTTTATTTGCTGGGAGATATTTCAGCCCTATTTTATATAATTTGGGGGACATGTGAAAGTGTGGCCAGATGTGTAAGTACCCACAGCAACCACATACGAACTCATTAGGAAAAGAAAATGGAGACAACTTGTACGGCTGTTTAAAAAACCCTCGCATTAAAATAAATTCTGCATGCAAGTCTTGAAAGAACTTGCAACTGTCACCAGTAATTTCTGGAAAGTATTTGTTAAATGCTTTTATCGAGGGCAAAGTAACACATTTATTTTTATCTAGAAGACTCAATCTTTTATGTATTAAAAAGGTTTCAGATGTAATAATTTATTTATTGTTTCTTAAAGATGGAGAGGTACCACACTAAAAATACACAGAGAGCTAGCCCAAGATATCTTACATCACAATGAATTTGAACAATTAAAATGGATAGCCCGAGGATGGAAATAGCCTGCAAAGAAAAAATAAACAACAAAAAAATTCAGTGCAGGACACCCAACTGAAGACTGTTAAGCTACTGCAAAATTTAAATATTCACATATGAAAAAGAACTATTCAAATTTCAACATTAACAGCTTTTAATTAGCACGTATTGGAAATGAAGATAGGAAAGAAAATGACAAGTTATTAAACCTATTCATATGCATAGCAAACCTAAAATTTATTCTAAATTGGTAGTTCCAAAGTAGTCTCCAGTATTGGACAAATCAATGCTAATTGAGTCCTAAAAAAAAAGGATTACTGTTTATGTAACCAAGGTATAATTTGCAAGGAAATGTATTCTCCATTACCAGGAACAGAACATAAGGTCAGCTATGAACTGATGTAAAAAAAAAAAAAAAATCAAACCGCATAGAACATTTGCTTCATGATCTCAATGAAGGATATGGTGTACATTTTAGCAGTCATAGTAATTAACCATTGAAACAAATTACAAAGTGTCATGGTGGATTCTCTATCTCTGAAAAGTTTTAAATCAAGGTAAGATTTTTTTTCTCCTAAAAACCATGCTCTTGGAATTATTTTGATATGGCCTGAGCTACATAGAGTATGGGGGATGTTTTCTGGGGTGGGGCTGCTGACTCTCAGAAAAAATATCAGTCAGGGGCCACACACAAGTGAGAAGAGAAACAACCCTCACTGACTTGGCCCCTGACTGAGAAGCAGAAGGACACTTTCCACATTCCCTCCCACACCAGAGCATAACCGGGCCCAGCCTAGTAGATTTTGTGTGTTCCAACCCTGCAGTGGGGCAGCAGGGGGGTTGGAGTGCCAGTGCGAGCTCACAGTGCTGGGAGGGGGGGGGAGGGACTGAGACTTGTGGGGCTGGACACAGGCAAGCCAGGGGCCGCAGCCTGAGGTTTCCCACCCCTTGAATAGATGATCACAGTGGTTCTTCCTAGCCTCACAATCTATGAATATAAATGTGAATTTCCATAATGATTCCAGAGGGATTTATAAAGTAATTAAGATATGCAACACTAAGTATATTGAGCAGGCTGCTATCTATATTACAACATACTTTCCAACATAGTCTTCATTTTAACTTGCTGGAAATGCACGTTTGGTGAGTATGCCTAGGATAGAAAAGCATTTAGCATACTCTTTAGTGGCTCTTTGACTGTTAACCTAAAAGTATTTAAAAAACTTCTCTCAGTAGAGTTTGAAAATGCACAGAAAAAGGATACTCTATGGATAAAGAATATTGATATTCAGTGCCTTTTCTAACTAGGGAGGCTTGAGAAATCTAATATAATGAAGGACCCAGGATTTACTAACTCCTAAATTTTAATCTCAGTTCTGTCGCAGTTATGATCTGTGTAAACCACTTATTTTAGTTGTGCCTTTCTTTCCTCATCTGTAATATAGGGATAACTAATTAATATGAGTCCCAGGATTAGTAGCATTGGTCTGGAGACATGAATAGAAATAATTGCTACAACAATTACCACTGACTTGATGATTTTTTTTCCTAAAGAGAAAACCCATTTATTCTTCACTTCTTAAATCAGTTCAGAGTTTAGTGCAATACTGATTGAACATCAGATAATTTCAATAGAAATGAAAGACTCACAAGTAATGAATTTTAAATGTATTTAATCACACTTCCATTTTATTACAGAAGTTGTGTGTAAGTTAAACAGTGCCCCTGTTCAAATACTATTTATTACACATGTAGAAAACATTGGAAGATTATACATTAGGTGAAATATTTTCACTGATGACCTAAGAGCCTAAGTCCAGGCAATTTAGTCACAATTGAAAAGTAAACAATATTCAGTTTGAATTTTTTCAAATAAGTAACTTTTTTCCCCTTACATTTTAGTACCCTTTGTAGCAACTGTCCGAGCAATGGTCAAACTTGGAAAAGACTTTCTTCCAGTATTTTAGTTAAGATAAAATAACATATTTTGGACAAACTCACCCAATACACATTAATGTGGGACTCCAATGGTGCATGAAATCTCTGCACTTGAGTGAATAACAGTCTTAATGACACAATAAAAGATCGACTATACAATAAGCTTAAGTCAACACTGAAAAATACAATGTAGAAATACATGAATAACTGTAAACAGGAAATTCAGGACCAGCCTCAGATGGACAGTGTAATCACTTGGCAGAAATATCCTTCCCTGGAACCCCACAAAGATAGACCCTGATTCAAGAAAACAAATAAGAAAATAATTCACATTCAACACTCCCTTAAGTAAATGAGACTTAAGCTCATGCTACAAATTAAAACTAACAAAATAATCAAAAGTGCACATAAAAAAATGTACAAACCTACATTTGGGTTTAATAACTTTGCCAAACAGAATAAGTGCAAAGTGAGTGAAAGAGGAATGTTGCTACTGCTACATTCCAGCAGACTATTAATAATAAAACATTATAAAAACCCTATAAATGGTATTTTTTCAGCCCTTCCTTTCAGAACCTGCAGATTATCAAGGCCCTTGTATGCAGAGGGCAGCTTTCTCTTTCAGAATTAACTTCCTTCAGATTAATGTATTCAGTGCTAGCCACCATGAAAAGTAACTGTGATGTCACAATGTGCTTTTGACATCCATTCATATCAGGAAAGATGAACAAGCTGAGTACAGAAGACAACTGCTTCTGTTTGTACAGAAATATGGCAACGGAAACAATCAGAAAATATGTTTGTTAATTTAAAAAGGACAATTTTACACTCTAGAAAGTTTGATGAAATAAGGCAGTCTCCCTCCCCTTCCCAATATTAATGAATTAAGTGCTCCTGATGGGTACTAGACTGGTGCAGCCAGAAGCCTCAGAAGAGCTATAGCTTAGATTGCTTCCTCAGTGTATTGCTCCAGCTTGATCTTGTGGGACCACCTCTAAGGGTGAAAGGATAATATCATCTCCATGCTCATTTCATTCCTGACCATTCTGTGACAAGCTGAATTTGATGGGTGGTTTTGTGATTGGGCCATCTATTCATAAGCAAATTCATTTTGCATGTGATTATTGCCATCGAATAGCAATTTTGTCACTAGTAAGCTAGTCCCTTCCAGAAGTGGGACCTAAAGATGAAAGTTCTGCCTCACATTCCTGATTGTATGAGCTAGTCATTGCCATAGACACACTTTCTTTAAATCTATTTCAACCTGCATAGCAGAAAGAAGACACTGTAATTTACATTTATGTAGTAGTTTAAATGAAATAAAGCAGCTCAGAGGATTTCTCATTTCTGTCCATTTTCTTTTTATTTTCATCAAATGTGCTAACTTCTTTACGGTCGTCTGTAAATATGCTACATTTACATTATATAGGAATAGTTTTAGGGTATGAGAATCAACCTTGTGTCTCAATAAGTATTCTTTCCTTTTTTTTCCCCCCCTCTCTCTCTCTAACTTGATGCCACTGTGTCAGAGGCTAAGTCTATGTAAACAGGTATACTTACAAAAATACAGAAATGCAAGAGGATATATAGATTTGTCATCAGATCATATGTTATTTATACTTATATATTATTAGACAATCTCAATATACTTTTGCACTTTGGTCCCCTTTTATAAGAAGATTTCTCTGATAGTTACAAAAAGAGTTCTGAACATATAGAGCATAAGCATACTATACTTAACATTTAATCCATCTTCTGGTTAGTAAACTACCTTAAATTTTGCATTAAAAATGATGAGTGAAAATCTAGTCCCATTGAAGTCAGTGACAAAATTTCCACTGGCTTCAAGTTCCAAGATTTCACAAAAGGAACTTTATGGACTTAAAAAGTTCAATCTTAAATTATGTTGTGTTACCAGCACATACATACTTGTCATTTAAAAATCAGCAGCTGTATATAAATACATTTTATAGTCTCTATCCTGTACAGTCTGTATACAGACTTTAACAAACAAGTGATTAATTGCCTGGAATAATCAGGTTTTTTGACGTCTGCCTCTTACAAAATCAATTTTAGGTTTCTTCGTGGAGGGCTCTGTTTTTCTGCAGAACTGTGTTTAGTTCCTTAATAACACTTGGTGGCAACTTATCAGATTCCAAGTTAGATTTGTTTGTTTTGTTCTCATGTTTCTTCAGTGTCCTTGATTCCTTCGAGGGCCTCTTGTGCAAGTCAGCAACGTCGGTACCTGTGTCTTCAACGCAGATAAAGCTTCGATGTTTTTTCACATGGTTTTTCATTTTCTCCTCCTTGCGCTCTAGGCATTGTGCCACCATATGTGCTTTTTGTTTTAAATTATGTTTTCCTTCTACTGTGTCATTTTCCTCTTGATCACTGTATGTCAGCTTTCCAGATTCCCATTTAATATGCTGAATAAAGACAAGAAATCAAAAATAAAATGGTTCAAATTAACACACTAGTGAGTAACATTTAAATTGTGAGTTTGCCTCTGTACCTAACATAGCAGCTTACAAGAAAAACCTATTTTGGTAAGAGTGGGGCAGCACAGCTACTAATTCTGGCTAAATAATTGTGTAGGAAGGCATGGCCAGGCCTGACTCCACATGCATATGAACCAAGAAGCAGAGCTGTTCACACTGTGCCAGATAAGGAATGAATGCACAGCCAGACACTGCATCACCCTCTCAGACACAGCCCTTTCCCCTGCGCTCTGACCTAAACCCCTCTGTACACACAGCCCCCAGCTACTGCCTGCAAGCACTCTTAGCTGTCCCTTGTTTCTGCACATAGCCTAGCTACCTTTGTCTGCACTCTGAGCTACCCTCCTGCCTGCACACCCCGCCTTGGCTATCTCCTGCCTCATGCCTGGAGCTGGCTGAAAGGCTGAAAAATGAAGATACCATAAGAATGAGCTCACGAACATAAGTCCCCTGCAAGGAAAAACAAGCACAACTATCCCATTAAGACAACTCCTGGCCTGTAAATTATCTCCTATATTTATTTACAACATCTGGCTCTCTTCTAATTAGTTGAGAGTAGGATTGGGTCTTTACTTACACAGCAGAGAAATTCGTATTTTACACTAAAAAAACTGAACACACAAAAGAGTGTTCAATGTTGGACTATTTTGTTTTAAAATGAAATAAAATGAAATTGTTTTAACAACATTCTTAACATTGTTGTGGTGCTTATTGTTCAGTTTTTATATAGAATTGTGTTTTCTTGTTTGAACACCATACATTTTGCTCTCAACATTTTTTTTAAAATGTAGTTTTACTAAAACTGTCTGATTTTAAAGATCATAAAGCATTTTTTTGAGTACATATTGCTGGGGATTTCTACTATTACAGTTATTAACATTAAAATGAAAAGGAAACAAGCACATATATATAAACTATGTAATGATTACAATTAATAATTTTCCTCGAAAGTGTTAATAGTAAGCTGCAGCACTTACTCCAGGTACACAGGGCATCAGAGAAAAAAAAGTGGGAGTCCCTGGCATAGGGGAGTTGAGCATACCACCGTTAACAGTGAACAACTTATCTGCATGGTTTTCTAGTCAAGGCAACAGCAAAAAGTTAGACATTCTTCAAAATCTATTCCAGTCCCATAACTTCAATAAAAAGGAGGAAAAGAGAACAAAATACATAGAAAGTAAAGTGAGTTCCCATCTTCAGTAGACTTTATTTACTGAAGTAGTCTCTCCTCAACTTCTTCACTTTTAGCTGAATCAACATTCACAGCATACTTAAAGGAATAAGAATATTGTGTTACTGCATTTGGGGCTAAATAAACAAATGATGTTTTAAAATCTTTCCCGGGAATTGCTACACAAGTCTGAAAGGAAGTTCAGAAGCTGCCTCAAAACCTCACTGTGGCAGTAGTTCTGTCCTAACAGCTGTGGATGCGCTCATTTGATGTGTATATTAAGAATATAAGGTCTGATTAGTAGTTCTGCAAATCTCAACAAAGAAAACAAGGAGCAATCAGAGGGCTGGCAATGCTGGCTGACCCCCCAGCAGCTGCCAGTCAGTGGGCTGGGTATTGCAGCGCCAACCCCCTGGGAGGAGCTGTCACCTCCCCTTTAAGCTCCTTCCAGGAGGAGCATCCAGGGCAGCGCCACCCTTGCTGCCACAGGCCACCCTGGTAAAACCCACCCTCTGACCTCCCACCCTGAATCTAGGGTTGCTAGATGGTTTCAACAAAAACACTGGACACACTTGACATTACATCACAATTTATATTACGTCTTACATAGAAAATACCGGACATTTATATTTTCTCAATTTGTTTCCCAAAGAGAAAGCTCAAATACTGGACTGTCCAGTTCAAAACCGGACACCTGGCAACCCTACCTGAATCCTGTACTTCACAACCCCCTGCTCTGAGTCTCCTACTCCTGTCCTGTGTCCTGCATCTCCCAGTCCCCTGCCCTGTCCCTTCACAGGGACCCAGGCAATACCCAGCAAATCCTCTAGTGTCCAACAACAAAGACTGGCCAGACCAAATTGTCCAAATTATATCCAAATAATAATTAAGTAACAATTCAGATGATGATGCACAAGAATGGACAAATCCATTTTTCATTCTCTCTCACCTGGTTTGGCTTTTCAAAACTAACAAGGCCAAAACAATAGGAGTCCTGTGACAAATTTATTTGGGCATAAGCTTTGTGGGCTGGAATCCACTTTGTCAGATGCATCTGATTTCAGCCCACAAAAGAGTATGCCCAAATAAATGTGTTACTTTTTAAGGTGCTACTGCACTTCTTGTTGTTTCTGCTGAAGCGAAGTAACTCGGCTACCCTTCTGAAACTTGTCAGTAAACACTTAACCACAAAGTACGTAGACAGAATTCAGAATACATACAGAGAACGGATTCTTTGAAGAACAAGGTACAATTTTTACCATTTACATAACACCTAGAATTTTACTCTTAATGTACTATCTCTACTGAAGTTGATGGAAGTTTCACTATCAACTAAAATGGGAACAGAATTTTCACCTATTTTTTCCCTTTAATACTCCACAATACTTATCCCTGACTGTCCAGATCCTGTCCTGTCTTGATGCACATATCATAGCTAATTTGCAATTTTGCTGGATATAGAGCTGGCTAATAATTGCTTAATTACACTAAGGGGAATATTTCTATTTTAGTTATTTGATGAACAGGTTGAACCTCTTTAGTTGGGCACTGTCAGTACCTGATGGGTGCCAAAGCAGAGAATTTGTCAAATCATGGGACGTCAACATTGTCTAGCAGCATTACCAACACTTGCACTGCTGACTGGGCTGACTCAATCTGGTTGGGGAGTGCAGGAGGTAGATGAACCTGGACCTGCCCCAGCCAAGGGACATGCACCCTTCCCTAGCTGTGCCTGCTGGAGCTGCAGTGGCAATGGAGAGACACTTCTTACCTGGTCCCAAGCTGTGCAGTGAGAGAGTGCTGAAGCTGTCCTCTCTCCCTGGGGCAGCCCTCATCCTCAGCCCCACCCCAGAGCAATGATACAAGTGAAACATGCATATTTTAAATTTATTTTCCAAAAAAACAAAAATTAATTGAGTTAAGGACCTGACTGACCAGTGCTGGGTAAATATTTTAGTTATGTTATCATTGAAACGTACAGTTAGTTCCATTTTTATTTAATTTACAAAAGAAGCCCTTTGCTATGGATATTCTAGGATAGATACCTAAAAGTGCAAGGCTGCTTTGGAGACAGGAAGAGGAATAATAGAGCACACGCACATGCACACCTGTATTATCAAAGACTTTATTTAAAACAAACTATTAATGTTTAGTAAAATTCATGGTTAAAATCCCATTTAAATCTAATAAGTGTCTCTTACTAAAAAAAAATCCAGTGTTAATTTACCAACTTGACACAGAACTAGCTCATTATGCCTTTAATTATATTGTCCTAACTATTCCTTTAATGGCAGAACACTATAAAGGACACGGACATTAGAAACATCTACATCTCACATTTATCCAACTCCAGAAAAATAAAAGGACAGTTTACAAATATAGCATTGTAATTAAAGTTCAACTTTAACTACCGGCTTACCTCTGCATTTCCGCTGGTTTTAGAAATATTTTTCTCCCGCTGAATGGGAATTAAAGGTAAGCCTCCAATTTTGGGATTTTTAGTTATAGACTGTTTTCTTGCTTTTCCAGCTGGTGGCCATATATCACTGTGCTGTAGAAACAAAATTCTTTACTCCTGTTATGCAATTTTATTATGAATACATTTCTTTCCTTATGTATGAAATTGCCTTAGTAAGAATATATACTATGCTGTACTATAGTTCCACAGAAAACTATGACTTATTTTTAAGAGAACGGGAACATGTTTTTTTATAATTATGTTGATGATTCTGTAGGCGCTTTGGAATTTTTGCTGCAGGACTGCAAGATGCAAAGTGAATAGAGCTTTAAAGTCTCAGTGGATGGTCTATGTTCCACAGGTGTTCCCACCATACCATCTATAAAAATATCAAAATGTAACTACTGACAATAGAACAAAAAAGAATATTTAGGAAATAAAATATATCTATTTGATGTCTAGGTCCAAAATTCCAAATAAACTGTATATATAAGTGCAATTTTCTGATGCAATAGAAAAATAAATGTTTAAACTAAAGGGAACATTTATGCTACTAATTTATTAGTATAAATTAGCTGTTATAACAGTTATGGTATTTTCTTCCCCACCTCAAAGGATTAAATGTCCTCAGTAGAAAATACTTTAGTGTAAATAATTATGGATGGAATACAGTAGGAAGATTTAGGACTGCAATATTTAGCTGGTTCCAGACATCTCTTGAGGAAGATGTTCCACTGTGTAAAAGCAATCATTCAGGCACGAGGATTTGAACTTGTGTCTCATACCACTATGTGTGTACCCCTACAAATGGGCTATAGAGTTACTTACTTTCTCGGGCCCAAGGAATATTTAATTATTCGAACAAAGTGAGACAGTTTTACAGGAGAGAATGAAAGACACTCCAATGTAGTCAATGGCCCAGTGGTTTAAGCTACACCCAAGAGATGGGAAACCTAATTTCAAATCCCTGCTCCAAAATAGCCTAAGAGAGAGTTTTGAGTCTCGGCCTCCCACATAATGAGTATGTTAAGCATTGGTCTAATCATAGAATCATAGAGCTGGAAGAGACCTCAGGAGGTCATCAAGTCCAGCCCTTTGCCCAAGGCAGGACCAATCCCAACTAAATCAACCCAGCCAGGGCTTTGTTAAGCTGAGACTTAAAAACCTCTATGGATGGAGATTCCACCAACTCCCTAGGTTACCCATTCCAGTGCTTCACCACCCTCCTAGTGAAATAGTTTTTCCTAATGTCCAACCTAGAACTCTCCCACTGTAACTTGAGACCACTGCTTCTTGTTCTGCCATTCGTCACTACTGTGAACAGCCTTTCCCATCCTCTTTGGAACCTCCCTTCAGGAAGTTGAAGGCTGCTATCAAATCCCCCCTCACTGTTCTCTTCTGCATACTAAACAAACCCAAATCCCTGTCTCTCCTCATAGGTCATGTGCTCCAGCCTCCTTATCATTTTGGTCACCCTCCACTGGGCCCTCTCCAATGTGTCCATATCCTTCCTATAGTGGGGGGCCCAGAACTGGACACAATACTCCAGATGTGGCCTCACCAGAGCTGAATAAAGCAGAACACCATCTATCTCTTCCTCTTCTTTTGTAGGGGTTTAGATATCCTTTGGCACATGGGAGTCTACTAGAATGATCCCAAAAGCAATATAGCTGTGGGACGAATTACCTATTGTATAAATAACATAACATGAAGATATACCTATCTCATAGAACTGGAAGGGACCTTGAAAGTTCAACAAGTCCAGTCCCCTGCCTTCAAATCAGGACCAAGTACCCTGACAGATTTGCCCCAGATCCCTAAATGGCCCCCTCAAGGATAGAACTCACAACCCTGGGTTTAGCAGGATAATGCTCAAACCACTGAGTTATCTCCTCCACCCCTGAGAGTTTTGCACTGAACAGCAGCAGGAGATAGACAGCTGTGCGCATTCTCACTCACTGAAATATAAGCCTCCCAGGAACTTTAATGATGGAAAACCAAAGCACCAAGGCACTTTAAGGTGGTCAGATGGAGCCTAAACATGAGTCTTCATTGCTTAATTCCACTTGTGATTTTAATAGATTGGGAAATAACTAAATTATGAAAAAAAAAACCTAGTAGCCCTGTGGCACCTTAGAGACTAACAAAAATATGTAAAATCACATATTTATAACTCATTCAGAAAATTAAAATTTACTTATTCATAGTTATGACTCAAGTAGGTGTCTCTTGTCAACAGAAATATATCAAACCATCTTTATCTTTTCAGACGATAGACTTGTAATATATGAAATACACCTTGTAAATATTATTCAACAGCAGAGTCTATATATAAGCATGGCAAAGCACAAAGAAATAAGCATAAGAGAAAGAGTATGTGTATGCTGCCATTAGTACATGGTCTCTAAATTCAGACAAGGTATGTTCACGTCCCATACTTATAACTTGGAAATTGCCTTTCACTCTTCCTTCTTGGCATTCCTAAATCTCGTAGCTCATTCCAACACAGAATATTATCACTAAAAAATCTAACTATAGTCAAGCCCTTCAATACAATCGCATCTGCTCTAATCCTACTGACAGACCAGAAACTTCAGGATCTCTACCAAGCTTTTATAAACCTCAATTACCCACCCGGAGAAATAAAAAAACAAATTGAAAGAGCCAGACGAATACCCAGAAATCATCTACTTCAAGACAGACCCAAGAAAACCAGCAATAGAACACCACTTGTCATCACCTATAGCCCTCAACTTAAACCCGTCCAATGAATTATCAATAAACTACAACCTATACTGGAACAGGATACTACCCTCGGAGAGGCTCTGGGAGACAGACCCATAGTCTCCTATAGACAACCACCTAACCTCAGGATGATTCTTACCAACAACCATAGGACATACCACACTAATACCAGCCCTGGAACTTTTCCTTGCAACAAACCCCGGTGACAGTTTTGTCCACATATTTACTCTGCTGACACCATTATCGGACCTAACCATGCCAATTACAAGATCAAGAACACATATTCCTGTTCATCCAGAAATATAATTTATGCCATCATGTGCCTAAAGTGTCCGTCTGCAATGTATATTGGACAAACTTCTCAGATACTTCGCCAAGGAATCAATGCACATAAAACAGACATCAGGCTCTCTCACAGTGAGAAAACTGTTGCTTGCCATTTTAACCAGACTGACCATTCTCTCAATGACCTTAAAATATGTATATTTCTTCAAAGACATTTTAACTCCAGATTTCAAAGAGAAGCCTCAGAACTGTCATTCATGCTTAAATTTGACACTTTGTGTATAGCTCTTAACAAAGATGCTAATTATCTCACCCGTTACAAAGATAGCTTCCTCAATTATCACCCCTAATGTCATTACCTCACAGACACTAATCTTCCCCCCTCATCCCTCTTCTGTTCTTAAACCTGATTCGTCATTTTTATGTGTGGTCACTTTTTTTTTAATTGTATCACTTTGGTATATATGGTTGTGCCAATTTTCTTCCACAATTTGATCTGAGAAAGTAGGTCTGGCCCATGAAAGCTCATCACCTAACAAACCATCTTCTTAGTCTTTAAAGTCCTGTCTTTTGTTTTAACTATTCCTTAGTTATCCCATTAGTCCCTGATGGATTTAGTAAGGTGGAAGGTCTCGTGGAAGGCTGAGTTCAGAGAAACAGGCAATATTTGCGCTGCATTTATCTGAGAATGGCTATTGTGATGATGTAGAATGTTGTTTCAAAGCAACTGGAGAGACAATTTTTGGTGCTCAACTTACAATGATTTCTGAGTTCTTCAAGGGCTCCCTCAACTTTTTGATATTCTCCATCAAATATAATGCAAAAAAAATCTTCATGTAATTATTAGTTTAAAAAGGTCACAGAATAAATTGGTTTTCATAAAGAAGCCTGGAGAAGAAACCAAACCATGCCAAACAACATTTCTTCTTCTAAGCAAAGGAGCAAATTTCCCTTAATTGCAGTATTATGTAGAAGAATTACTGCCCGTGTGTGTGAAGGGTAACTTTATCCAGTTGCTAATTTTGGCTTTATTTGTGAGCTCCACAATATGCTCAGAGGAATACATGCACACAGAAATAAGAACTGGAAAACACCTTTTTTTGGTCCATCTTTCCATCAATGCCTTATTTTCTGGATAGCTATGTTAAGTGCTTTTTGTACACACTAATTTTATTACATTCAACAAAGGGCTTGTACCATATCCCAATGGGATATTCATGCCACATTCTTAAAGAAAACAATGATCTTATTTTATATTTTTTTAACTGCTTACCAATCAAAATACAAAATGAATAATCTCCATACTAACCCAAACTTCTCCAAATTAAGCAAGAGAACTAGAACAATTAGGTTATAACGGAACAAAATTTATGACATTATAGTACCTACTTCATCAGAGGAGGGAAAAAAAGAAGAATTAATATGCAATACCTTCCCTGAATGCCAAGCTATGCAACTAAATAGCAATTGTTTCTAAGGAATAAAAGAAAATGGGTCTCCATCACCAAGTTAAGCTTCTTTCACGTCTAGCTGCAAACAAACTATCTTTGGATAATTTAATGCAAATATCTTGACACCTCTATGTCTTCCATAAAATCACCTGGAAGTTTAAATCTAAGTTCAAAACCCCACTCAAAATATCCTATTAACTAAAAACCTATTAACAGAAATGTTCAGATACTATGGAAATGTGTGTTGTATAAGAACAGAAAGCATTCTAACCTGGCTATAATTGAAATGTTGACTCAGGATAACAAATCCAGTTTATAAACTTACAATGTTTTTTTTTTCTAATCTCCAGTGGTGATGGGGGTTTACTTCACACTAGATGCAACCACTTGCATGTATAAAGCATTCTGATATTTTATGATAATCTTTTGGAGCATAACTTACTGCACCCTCACATGTTAACGTAACTGCAAATAATATTTTACCATGGAAAAATAGATCAGTTGTGTCTCATTACCACCTAATGGCACAATTAATTCATGGTGTTATTACATCTGCTAAAGATCACAATGCTGAATAAAAATGCTCCCTCATTACAGCCTAATATTGTTAATTTATATACTGCATATAATCCATAATGAATTTTCAAAGAAAAATAACTGAAGAATATGCTCAAGTTAGGGAAAGGTAGCAACATGCATTCTTCTTTTAAACAATTCCCAAACGATATGAACTGCTTCTGTAAGTCTGCATTCCAGATTGATTAAATAAACAAGTTTCACTGTACACTTGCTGGTCAGAGTTGTAACATTATCTTTCTTGTGATCTTGCATCAATAGGGCTTGGACAGAGTTACTAAGCTTTGGATGAGTTGTTTTTAAGCAACCTATGTCAATAACCTGTGAACCTATTCATTGAGACACTACCCTTGTTATCCCCATGAGATGTATTTCAGATTTGGTAGCTGTTTCCATGGAAACCACAATAGTTATTTCACTTGAAGGAGCTGAATAAGACAAGGTTTTGAAAAGTCTGTTGCTTCTAAGACAAGCATTACACATCCCACTCTCACTATTTACAAAGGTCAAAACAGATTCTCCTTCAAAGTCTATGATTAGGTATTGCAATAATCATGCGCCTGGTTCTGTATTATATACTTGGTACACAAGCAGGATAATCATATATATTTAATTTTTATTAAAGAAGGTACATTCACAACGAAATTTCTTTAAATAAAATGACAGATGGCAAGAGCAGCTAACTATTACATTCTCAACCTTAATATTGCCATAAAAGCACACAACACAGGAAATTCTAAACAACTTATGGCTCCCTCTGCAATCAAACCTCCTTGAACATACTGCATTACATTGTTTGATATTGCTATAACAACTTGAAGAAAAAGGAAGCCACATTTCATGGTGACATCTACTTTCACATTTGTCACATGTTTATTTTCTCATCTTCTCCCGAGGGGATCAGCGGAATGTTTTGATTTGAAATGTATATACACACACCCACTGCCATATGTTTCCGTTACAGAAAGAAAGATTAAAGAAATGTTTGGTGCACTTAGAGTGGAAGGTGGTGAGGTTTGTGATGCTCCTTAACTCCTGGAGAGTCCATTCTAGATTCATGGGTCAACTCCTGAGAAAGCTCTGCAGAGACAAGCTTTACATAAAGTCAAAAAGACTTTCAGGTTAAAAAAAACCACCTTTGATCAAATTATAAAAATGAAATGTGTTACATCCTGAAGTTTATTAACTATAAAAATGTCCTCTCCTCCTGTTTAGCCACAGTGTGTGTGAAAGGGTATATTTATAAGTAACCACCTTCCTAGTGAAAGTTTTTTCTAATAGCCAACCTAGACCTCCCCCACTGTAACTTAAGACCATTGCTCCTTGTACTGCCATCCGTCACTACTGAGAACAGCGTCTTCTCCATCCCCTTTGGAACCTCCCTTCAGGCAGTTGAAGGCTGCTATCAAATCCCCCCTCACTCTTCTCTTCTGCAGACTAAATAAGACCAAATCCCTCAGTCTCTCCTCGTAGGTCATGTGCTCCAGCCTCCTAATCATTTTGGTTGCCCTCCATTGGACCCTCTCCAATGCCTAGAATTGGACCCAATATTCCAGATGTGATGAATAAAGGGGAATAATCACTTCTCTGGATCTGCTGGCAATGCTCCTCCTAATTTACCCTAATATACCATTAGCCTTCTTGGCTACAAGGGCACATTATTGACTCATATCCGTCTTCTCATCCACTGTAATCCCCAGGTCCTTTTCTGCTGAACTGCTACCTAGCCAGTCCCCAGCCTGCTACCCTAGTCGGTCCCCAGCCTGTAATAATGCTTTGGATTCTTCCATCCCAAGTGCAGGACTCTGTACTTGTCCTTTTTGAACCTCATCAGATTTCTTTTGGCCCAATCCTCTAATCTGTCTAGGTCACTCTGGACCCTATACCTGCACTCCAGCATATCTACCTCTCCCCTTAGTTTAAGTCATTAAACAACTTGCTGAGGATGCAATCCATCCCCTCATCCAGGTCATTAATAAAGCTGTTGAATAATACCGGCCCCAGAATCAATCCCTGGGGAACTCCACTTGGAACCAACTGCCAACCAGAAACAGAGCCATTGATCATTAACTGTTGGGTCCAACAATCTATCCAGATTTCTATCCAATACTGAGGTTGGATGTGAAAGTGTAACCATGTAAATAGTTAACTGATGAGCCCTGGCTCATTTGTTAATGTTTATGGTTACATGATGGCTCCTGATATCCTGGGGAACTGGCAGTCACCTAAACTGTAAAATGTAATACTCTCTTATGAAGGGATTACAAAAGCCAACTTTTTTCAACTGTTACAGGCAGTAACTTTGCCAAGAAGCACCCTGAATCCTTATGGGAAAAAAGCAGAAAAAAACTCATGCAGATGTAGCACCATTTTCAAAATTCACACTACATGGCTGTGTGTGAAGCACATTAAAATCTTTTTATGCATGAGTATGGGTTCTTGAACTGCCACTGAAAGCCAGACCCCCACCTCCCTACAATGAAGGAGCAGGTATTTCTCTACTTGTCTTAACAGAATGGGTGAAATCCTGACCCCATTGGCTTCAGGGAGCTCAGGGCATCAGCCATTATATCTACTGGTGATGGACAAATGGGTTGCCTCTCTTCCTCCAGATTCTCGACAACACAAAAGAGAACTTAGGAGAACTTAAAGAATTCCTTCCAAAAAACTACAGCTCAAATGTGGAGCCATTATTACCTATTACTCTAAGCACTAAGCTAGTAGTCAAAAAATGGACTAAATCCACATCTTTTTGCAGTTGTACAATCTCAGGTATTTATCAACAGGGCTCGACAATTAGGGCAATCTACTCACCCGTGGAGAGTAGATTTTAGCCTGGTGTGGCCGCACAGCGTGGTCAGTGCATGTGCAGTGCGGTCTGCGCATGCACAGCATGCCAAACCCTGCGGCTGGCAAGCAGGGCTCGCCACTGCTTGTCAAGCCCTGTTTATCAACATTACTGGCTTCACAGCATTATCCTTTTTGCTACAATATATGGTGCATACAGACCACCCTAAGATACATTTGTTTAATTGTTTTGTGGATAAGTACAAATTAATTACCAGTGATACTCCACAGTGCACGACTAACTATGAAACATGGAGAATTTTTTAAAATCTTATTTCCTCAGACTAAAGTATTACCTGTGCATTGAAAATACTGGTCAGCCACTCCATTTGTGTATCCTGTCCATCACAACACATGTGCCTACAATATAATGTACAGTATTATTACAATAAACAGTTTAAGAAGTAGCTAACTGCAGTTGTGTCAGACTCCATAAGCAGTTCCTGTTTTGACAAAAACCTGTTTGGATTTCTCTTCTTTGTTTAATGTTATTAGCATTTTCTTATTTACATTTTAGACACAATATTTTTATATTAAATGCATATTTTGAAAAGACTGAGGATGATGCATATTGGATCAAATTCTGGAATGCATCCTAATTGCATTGAAAACATAAGCAGCTGTCTATCTTTAAGCATGTGCTTAGTTCATTGGCTTTCAATGGATTCAAACCTTTCTTTTGGGGCTTTGCTGAACTGGGACCTTAGCAAGGATACTAAATCAATAGCTTAAACTAGATATTGAAAGAAATCAACCTTGTTTTTTTTGCAAATGGGTAAAAGAAATCTAACAAAAACAAGAAAAGCACACATACTAGGTTTCAAGCACACTATTTTAAAAATGTTGATATTCACAACACACTCACATTTGTTAGAGTTGATTACTTACCATTGGTGCTTTTCAGAATACACTGTAAGACCCCAGCTGAAAAAATAAAACTCCACATTACAAATAATTATTTATTTATTTGTTTATTTATTTATTTACCTGAAATCAGTGCTATAATAGAAAATTGAATGTAAGAAAAGCTAGGACTACACAGAAAGAACACAACTGAGATAAGAGATGTCGTTTTTACTTTCTTGCTTTCAAGAGGAGTACTGATACTTAGTCCTCTACAACCACAAATGAATGACTGAGATCCTTTGATGAAGGTGCTATAACAGGTCAAAATATTCCTACTAGCAGTAGGAGTGACATGGATGTGAAACAGGCGGGGTAAGTAGTGAGGACAGTCAATTGAAGACTTGATTTTCAGAATGAAGTCAGACAATATGATCTAGGCACTGCCCTATTTCTGGGGGTAGAGAGAGGGAAGAGTCATCAGTTGAGAATTAGTAAGTGACTAGGAAGGCTGGGTTAAGAAGTATGAACCAAAGACGGGGGAAAGAGAGAGGGGGAAAAAAAGGAAGAAATGGGACCAGACAGTAATATGGCAGAATGAGCAAAACCAGAAGAAAACACAAGTAAGCAAGAGAAAGAACAAACACAGTGACACACAAGGCAGAAAAGTGAGTGGACAACCATTTGGCTCTTTGAAAATGAGTAGCTCTGCAGTGAAACACCTTGGTTTGATGCCAGCTTCTCTCATCTCTGAGGCCTGGGTGTGCCCTAAGTGACAGAGAGCTCTGCCCTGGGAAGACAGGAAACCTACCAGTTTCTGGCCACTAACCTGACTCAGTAAGGAGTATCACTGATTAGCTGACAGACCAGAAATGGTTATAGCATTGTGGAACCTAGAGAAGGAAAATCCTCCTTTGAAGACCCAGGGATTAACGTGGATCCTCCTTTGAAGACCCAGGGATCAAAGTAATCTTTTTTGGCACACTAAAGGTGTGCTCACCACTGGAACACATGCTACATGATACAAGACTAATTGAGCTAATAATTACAGCCATAACAGATAACACATTGCAGAGTAAGAAAACCAATCGATAAAGTAATTTTCTAACACAGAAGAGTTAACATGGAACACAGGACCAGACAGCATCAGAACAAGTAATATTATGGAGTGCTATTTCACTCAGAATAAGGGACAGGCTTCACTTGGCTTCCTGACTCAAGTATGCATGTGTGTGTGTGTGCATGCACATTTGCATGTGTCCTTGTGTTAGGACTGAATGATTGAAAGTTTTATTATTTTTTTTAATATTTGAATTTTAGGTTTGGTAATGTAGTAATGTAAGGTAATATATATAATCATATATAATATTGTAGTAAGTTAAATCCTTTAGTTAAGTACATATCTCCTATATTTCCTTGTTCTAGCGTTTAGTAAGTAAAGAGACAGGATCTCATATTGTGTCTATGTTAATTAGATTAGAAATATTGAAGGCCTGGGCCTTCAATGTGAATTGTTTTGAATTTGCTTTATATAAAACAGTATTGTTTATTTTTGAAGGATTTTGTGAAAGACTGTGTGAATGAGATAATATGTGAAGGTCATTGTTAGAGCTAGAATGGTCAAGAGAAAAGGGGCAAGATGAGACAACCTGGGTGCAGAGGAGCCATCTATAACCATTGATGCATACCCCAACTCATAAGATGATTGGATATTGGCAGATTGATGAACCTTGAAGCAAGCGGGCACCCCTGAAAGATGATTGATTACAGGATGAGCCTTGGAAAATGTTTTGAGAACACTGACATCAACAAGATAATGTCCTGGTCACAGAATGACACAGCAGAATACATGGATTTCAACAGAGAAAAGGATTATAAAAGCAGGGTGCTTTTCTATGGAACTTTGAGTATGTCTTGCCAATAACACCAGGAGCATCGGATCGATTGACCGACAGAGCTCGGCTCCCCCTCTGCGATCAATCTGGCTGGCCACTAGATTGATACAGACTCTGGACTGGTAACTATAACATCGTCTGGCAAGACATACGTACATATGCACGTGTGTGTGTGTGTGTGTGTGTGATTGAAAAGTACATGCAACTGTTGTATTCTCAATAAATGTGGCGTATTGCCTTTTCCCCTATAAAATATCTTGTGTGCTTCGTTTAAGCAGATAACACTTGTTCCATCGCAAAACTTAGAATCAGAACTTGATAAAGAACATAACCCAGTTTCTTTTCTAATCTTACTTTGTTGGTGGTTTCATTTTCTTCTTCACTCCAAGATAAAGTTTCACTGAACTAAGGGGCAGCACTTTTTCAGGTTTAGTACTCTGTGAATGAACATAAGTTTCTAATTAATTCATTAAAAATGTATAAAACCAGAGTGGCTTACAAATGCCTAACCTTCTTGCTTTTTTATTTTGGGGGCTCTTTCTTCTTATAATTTCATTATGGGTATATACACACACATACTTTACTGAATACAGCTCTTAATTTTTCCCCACCACACAAATTCTTCCAGTTTCACATCCTCAGCATTGGGGAAGTAGAAATCAAACAGTCAGATTTTAAAGAACATGGTCATTCATTCAAAACAACTTCCATTCAAAACTGTAAAAATGCAGACCGTTAAGAGAAAATCATTATTTCTTTCTCTGAATAGGCAAAGTGCTAAAATTTAGAGGTTATCCCAGCCTTCACCTGCATCCTCAAAGTAACAGAGATTTTCTGAGCCTATTTTTCCTGGACTCAGAATTTGATTATACCAGCTAAATGAATAAGCACCCATAGAAAATAAATTTCTAACCTAGCCCCATTAGTGCCATATGAATTAGCATTTCCTCTTAACGAAATCATCCAGAAGAATGTATTTTCTGCATATACAAATATACATTTGTTAATGAGCATTCATAAATTATAGTTGATTAGTACATGAAGTCATATGAAACAGTTCTCCACCTGCAAATATAGGTTGAAATTTTCTTAACTGGGATTCTCTGGTTTGGCAACATCCATGGTCCAGCATGGATGTTGCAGGATCAGAGAATCCTGGTGGAGGCTACTGGCAAGGATCCCTGTGGGGCCGGCAGAGCACAGCGAGCCCACCACCAGTGTGTGGCTGCAGGTCTGCCCAACAGGCTTGGGAGATCTGCGACTGCCCAGCGGGACCCAGAGCCACAGTGTGGCGCCTGCGGCTCCGGGTTGGCAAAGCAGCGAGGCCAGCAAGAGGTGAGGAGCTGGCTGGGAGCTGGCATCAGGGGTTCCAAAATGACCTCCCCGGTCTGGCAAAATCCCTCATCTGGGACCAGTCAGGTCCCAAGGGTGCTAGACCAGGGAGGTCCAACCTGTACTAACCCCCTCAGCTATCCTTCTCGAAATAGCTCTTAAAATTGAGCTACAATAAATACAAGTGCAAAAGCCACTATCAAATAACAGCCAAACACAAATACATCCAGGTGTCCAGTCAGAAAAGTTTTTCCCCCGATTTACCTTTTCTTTCTTTTTTTAAAATTCTATAAAACCATTTAAAGCTGATACGATATTTACCACTTAATATAAACTGCACCTGAGTTTAGAAATATCAAAACCAAAAATCTTGTGAAACAGAACAGTTTAGTAGCTGGAAAAACAAAATTTAAGGCAATTTATACTAATTCTATCAAACTCCTGACAAAGTGCTAATTAAGGTTTAGAAATATTAATTAATGCTCACATATGTGCCAATTTTTAATGCTAAGTAATTAGATATTTTCTGAAATCCTGGGGTCATTCTACTTAAGATAACTAAGAATTCATAAAAAAGACATTTTCTTTTTGCATAATCTTATATTAGTGATTACTGAATTAAGCTTTTTTCTAAGAAAAGGAGGATGTTCCCATATACTATACCTTCCCTAAAGTATTCTATGTATAAATCTGCTGCACAGACAAAAACAGCATCAAGACCAAAAAAGGAATACTTTACTTAAAATATATTCTTTAACAAAAGCTAGCAAAGTTAAAATTAAGCAAATAAAAGTAACCATAACCATGTTGTACTCAATTAGTTTATAAGTTTATATAAATTGCACAAAACGTGTATGCCCCTGTTTAATCAGTTAACCAGTTAAGCTTAGCGTTTAGTACATGAAGTCATATGAAACAGTTCTCGATCTGCAAATACTAAACTCCTCAATATTTAGCATTTAACTGGTTAACTAATCAAGTGAGATTTGCTCGTGCATGGGAAATTAAGCACAGGTGTAAATGACTGTAGGACTGGGCCTAAACCAATAATATAAATTTTCTTTTTTTAATATTCAAAAGTTCAGTAACATCTTTATACCTTTTTGGGGTGTGGGAGGGAAATGGAGAAAAGAGAAGGTACTATATACTAAAGATGCTATTTTCCAAAATCTTTTTCATCATATTTCTAACAAAAAAGGTATTGTACAGGCAGTCCCCGAGTTATGCGGATCCGCACTTACGAACGGGGCTCTCTCGCCCTGGAGCTCGCAGGCAGCGGGACCGCCCAGAGTGCAGCGGTCCCGCCACCTTGACCTCCAGGGTGAGAAAAGCTGCTCTGGGTGCCCCTGGTCTGCTGGGAACCATCTCCAGCAGACCGGGGACACCTGGAGAAAAGCCAGGAGGTGGAGGGGTCCCCCAGCCACT